TATCGCATTCCGGGAAGGTGATTTCCTGAGGACGCAAGTGTTCAGAAGGAGACACGATTACTCGAGTCACATATCACTGCGCGAATTTCGCATTCGGGGAGCGCATTTAGATGGAGATACGGGCGTGGTTAAAGAGCCGCAGTCATTGTGTGTGTGTGTGTGGGTATGTGTGAGAAAGAGAGAAATAGAACGAGGAGAAGCCGATGGTATAAGAAACGGTAAGCGAGGAGAGATAAAAGAAGAACGAAGGAGAGGATGCTACTGGAGAGTGCGACGACGAGAAGGAGTGAAAGACGAGGATGGATGAAGATGAAGGAAGCGGAAGATGAAACGGTCAGATAGAAGCCTGAGTGCCACGTGCGAACCGAGGCAAGCAGGTCTTTTCGCCGGAACTGCGACCACGATCAGCCACGTTTCATCAGCCGCAAGATGAACTTGGCTACCATAAGCATTCAACGGAAGCGGAATGGCGAGAGGACTTTCTTCTTTCAAAAAGTCGTCCGTGAAAGATTCGGCCCACCAATCTTTGTCGCGATTTTATCGTCGCATCGTGGAAATACAGTTCGCACAAATGTTGTAATTACGAAGACGGCGTTGGAAGAATGTTATAAGAGTGTTTCTCTGATTAACATTTACCAGAATAAAAAATATTAATCGAACAGATTTTATATAATATTTTATGTATAAACAACGATCCGCGTTACACAAGTCAATAAAACTGAAATATCTGAAATCTCAGGTGATATTTTAGGCATAGAGATTTTTTGTGTAATTAATTTGAAAGAAGATTTCCAAGTTATAGTCGATGAAGAATCCAAGAGAATCATCGAGAATTAAGCTTGGAATTAATATTACACATATATATCGGCTCTTTTCATTTTTTTTTTTTTTTTTTTTTTTTTTTTTAAATCTCCCGGCTATTTGAGACCTATTACTATATTAGATTTTTCCTCGCGATATCCTCGGAAATCCGGATACTTGTACACGCCCTCGGGCTATGTATATATCGGGCGTTCAATAATTTACTTTTAACGAGACGCATTGAGCACACAAAAATATTCCACACACATGCAGAGAACAGTATTTCCCAAAAATTGTCCCGTCATTGTTTATTAGACTTTCTAAACGTCAGTCTCCCTCCTTTCCTTACAATCGATCGTGGCGCGTTAGGAAACGAGCTCGGCTCTTCAGTAGGATGACGATAAATTTTTCCGGATAAAAAGGACAGCGAGATCTCCCAGTAGAGAGCCACTATGTAGCATTCGCCTTCCGACCATCGATGGACGATCGTGGAAGGAAAGGACCGTTACTCTCAATGGACCAATACGGCCTCTGTGTTTCTCGCCTTTCCATTAAACGCGGCGCGGTCGCATCGTTTCCCTATTCATAGAATAAATTCGACGACGAAACGCGAGACGAGAAACAGAGATCTATCCGATTTCAGCCGTCGTTATTGGGAGAAAATCTCCGACTTCCCTCGCGAAAGTATCCGTGATATCGAAACGTGTCGTTCGCGCTCGTTGCGAAAATAGCCGCACCGGAAAAATTCCCTCGGAATCTCGCTCGGCTTCATCGAATTTCAAGCGCAAATGCAAGTCGATATTTTGAAAGAAGCGAGCGAAACTTCTTCATTTCGACGCTCATGATCGGATTACGACTTCTTTAAGCATGGAAATTAGCTCGAGAATGAAATCAAAGAGCGCCGTCGTCTTTCCTAAGTAGCCTGGAATTTCAGCGGAAAGTTTCTCAATTCTTCTCCTTTTCTTTATTTTTTAGATCCCAATTACTGATATACATCTCGATGTGATAAATTCGATAAGTTTCCAGTGTATTTTTCATTAAGGGATTATAAAAGAATAATGGAGAAAAAAAGAGACCATTTCGAAAATCAAAAAACTCTGTGATTCTCCCTCTCTTTGATATCAAACGTCAAGTTAAGAACCCGAAACGAAATTTAAATCAATTCGAAGTAAGCTACAGGGTCAAAAGGACGCTTAATTAATTCCAGCGACGTTTCCCCACATCTTTCATCGAAAGTCGTCGCGGTCGAGGGCACTAAGATAGAATATATAATATGACGAGCAGAGAGAGAAAGAAAAAGAGAGAAAAAGAAGGCACATACAGCATATCTTCGATCCTTTATGCGAGTTTTGACCCTCGCCGCCAGCATCTAGCATCAAAGGCATCTTTTCGCTCTCCGGATCCACACTGGCTTGTTCAAATACTGCCAGCTAATTCCGTTTGCTTGTATATTAATAATCCGCCCCGTTATCAGCATTAAAGGCCACCGCGTACTTATCGTGGGATATTAATGCCGACCGGGGAATAATTAAAATGATGTAAGAGCATCCACAAAATATTACCACGATTGCGCGTGATTATTTTTTTTTTGCCACGCGTATAATTAAAATATAGAGGATATATAGCTTTTAAACCCCTACCCTCGTTTCTCCATCTCTCCCACTGTGCTTAATTAAGAATTACGAAATAATCTGAGAATTTATCGAACGATCATTTAGTTGAGATCGAGTGCGTCGAATTGGAAATATTTTCATGATCTCTCTCCGCGCTGCAAAAATATCTATCGCTTTTCTGTTTATTAATATAATGGATTTCGGATAAGCGATGTTCGGTTAATTAGACCCTTCCCAGAGAAATTATTCATTCTCCATGATAAATTTCCCGTCACGTATGATCGAAGCTAATGGCGTGCACGAGAAGGCGCGCTAATCCCTGTCCGAGAGAAAACTGATTAGGTCGTGTTGCGAGAACGAGCCGTGGAAAATATTCTCGTTTTTATCGATCTTGTTTTCGGACAGCGCGACTTCCTGCGACAAGGGTCGGCCTGAAAAAGCGGATCAGCCCGAACTAGCCCAATTAAGAGGATTCTCCACGATTTTGGCTCAGGCATACTTTAACGCATTCATGTCATGGAAAGAAAAGACTGTTCGACATCTCTCGTCTGGCAATAAATTATTTTTCCTGAGAGACGGAAAATTCCAAAGAAATATTTTTGCCAGGATTAAATATATACGAAACTGTACTGTGTGTTGTCGGTAAAAGCAATGGGAGGGTAAAAATATGTTATTCGATTTGAAAAAACACCACGTCTCGTATATTCTGACGCTAAATGTCGTCTGCGTCTTGAGTTTTATTTGTCCAATATGAAGAAGACGTTCACAGTGTCAATAGGCGACCACACAGAATTATACACGGACAGTAACACTTAAGGCTAAAAGTGCGGCGGGAGTACACGGACCTTTGGCTTTCGGGAGGAACTTTTAAAGGCTCGTAGGTGTAACTAATATCGCGGCCGTTTTTACGAGGAGCACGTGCGCTCGGGTCTACGCAAGATGAACGGAGAAGGAAAAAGACAGAAAAAGAGGGAGAACGCGTATTTGGACGTAGCACTTCCAACGGACGAGACTGAAACGAGAGGTGCAAAGTGAACTCGAGTGCTTCACGAGGCGTGCAGCGAGAACACTCTTTTTTCGGGTCATACCAGAAAAAAAAAGAATTAGACTCCCGTGTATGGCGCATCAGGGATGCTCTTCGGTTCGGAGGGAGGCGTTGAACGTTTAGCACCCAGAAAAATCAACAGCAGCCTCAAAGAACCTTTTCAAACAGAGCGTTACGCGGGCCGATTAGCGACGCGACACTAACGATCGACTCTTCGGAAAAAACGAGCACGAAGAAAGAGAGAGGACGAGAGCACGCAATGCGTGCTGTTTCATAATAGAGGTAAAAAGATTTTTAATATAATATAATTGAAAAAAAATTAGTAATAACCGCGAACCTTTTTTACGACATATACAATCGAAGTAATTGGATATAAATACTAGTGATGCATGAAATAAAAATAATTGTCGAGGCAAAAAATGTAATAAAAGTATAATGATGAGTTCGGAGAGAGCCGACGAGTTGCGAGAAAAATCGAAGCCGCGCGCGCCAGTTGATATCGTCACGATCGAGTCGAGGCTTCGAACGCGAGATATGCGACCGACACCCACGTGGGGTCAAGGAGGAGGATATCCCTTTTGCGCGAAACTGCACTCTTGGTGCCTACGATGTTTAAATAAACACCGAGTGTCCCTCTCATTCCTCTTCCCCTTCGACCGGCCTCTCTGTCGAGCCGGCGTGGCCGTATCACTAATTTGTCCGTTCAAACAAAAAGCAATTTGTTACCCGGTCGGACTGACTCACGGACCGAACGGTGTATATGCGGTTCGCTCGAGAGGCGCGCAGGAGGAACGGGAGGAAAGAATCGGCAGAGAGAGCAAGAGAGAAGGAATGTAGAGGATGAGAGAGAAGTGGAGGCTGATTTAAACCTGTCTGGAGGCCCGCTGCGCGCTTAACAACTGAAAAACAAACATGGCGCCGAGAGAACGCATCGAGCAGCAGGGGCCCATGTATGCGCGCACCGAGACTATAAAGTGCTTTTGGTACCCCCGGAACCCGGGCCGGTTGAATCCTAAAAGATTTCTTCTGCGCGAGAAAAAAAAAGGCATCAACCGGCAGAGAAGAAAATATCGGGAAGTCCTGGCATTTTTTCCCCCGACTAGGCCGCTCCTTCCCTTTGTCGCCGGAGAAAAGAGAGACAGAGGGCCATTCTTGAATAGGGAACGCAACCACTTTACGCGAGGAAGTATTAATTTATGAGACATTTTTCATATTTTTCTTTGGCCTAGCGAAAAAGGATGCCGCGCGCGCGAAATTCCTGCGTCGACGGGAATTTTCCCGTCTTGCTGTCGGCACGTCGAATATTTCTGAGAAAATTCGCGATATTTAAGAAATTGTTTCGTCCTTACATCGAGGAAGGGCGCGAAGCCGGATTTACTTTTGAATTCTTGATATTTTCATCGTTTGAAGGATCGAGGATATCCGAAGGAAATAGTTTCTCCCTTCGTATCGAAAAATTTTTCGCCAACTATATACATAGGAAGAGGTTTGGTCCCTCTCTTCTATCCATTAATAAGCGATAAAAAATTCAGTGTACTTACGCCAGGAGTGCTAGCTTGAGGCCCGAACGGGTATCTCGTCCAATCCAGTTTCTCCTCCGTCGTCGTGTCCAAGAGAACAACTGCAATGAAGAAAAAAACATGATTTGAGTAAGCGATTACCGTACACAATATCTATGGTAATATTTTTTTCTCTTTGTTGGATAAATTTAATTTAATCAAAAATAATTTTTTAAAAAGAGTGCTCCTTATTATTTTTATCCGCACCTATGATCTTTTTGACTACATTGTCACGCAGTCGCAACACGTTTCTCTCTCGCAACTATAATTAAAATTACACAATGCAAATATGACGCAAATTAAAACGCTCCGACTCTGAGCTAATCCTAATAAAAACAGCTTAATAAAAAGCGCGGGCGGAAGTCATTGCGAAGCAAGTCGATCTATCGAAGAGGGATGGGAGCGAGCAACCTCTCAAAATGGCGGATCGTCGAGAGCGCATTGCGAGGGGTGAAAAAAATATCGGGAGGCGAATATACGCGGCGCGAGAGAGGCAGAGAGGGTCGGGAAAAAGAAACGAAAAGATCCCGTTGCGTATCGGGTGCATATACACACGTTAGGGGACCAGGTTGCGCGCCGTGTCCTGCATCGCGTCATGGTAGAGGTAGAGGTGGTGACTGTGATGTTGGTGGTAGTAGTCGTATCGACCGGGTCTGGGCTGCTACCAACCCTCGACTCTCCTCTCTCTCTCTCTCTCTCTCTCTCTCTCTCTCTCTCTCTCTCTCTCTCTCTGCCTCTTCGTTTCGTCGATCCGTTCCTGCTCTTCTCGCCTCTCTTCTACGCGCTCAGCGCATTCCTCTCTTCTTCGTCCATTCGTCTTTCTTCTTTTCGCCTCGCGTTCTTTGTATCTCTCGCGCCTCTTCCCTCTTCAACTTTGGCACTCGTCCGTCCTTTCTTCCTCCTTATCATGCCGTTACAATGCTTCTTTTTTTGCTCTCCCCTTCTCTTTCTCGCTTTCGTTGTTTCGCTACTCTCTCTCTCTTATTCGTTCTCATCCGTTTCGCCCGAATATCGAATCGTCTCCCCCAACAACTAGCGTCCTCATGAACCCTCTACGTGGACCTCTGATCCTCGAATTCCTAGGCCAACGCGGATGCAACACGCCCACCTAATCCATCTGACGCACGCCGGACGGAATCTTAGAGGTGAAAATTGTGCGCTGTAAAATATATCTCATCTTTTTATCCGACCGTGGTTGCATCTTCTCACCTCTCGATCGATCTCTCATCCCGCCATCGATCGTTTCGACAGAGGCACTTGCGCGAACTGTGATTATTTCGCTGCATCTAGACCGATGCAGAGTGGAATGTGAGCGACAGATAAAAAAAAAAAATATTGAATCGAAAAAATATCGTAGCAATATTTTTAAAAAATATTGTAATTTCGGAATTAATCTGAGACAAAATTCCGAAACGTGATCTAAATGTTTAGGCACTTTAATTCAAGTTGCAAAATTAAACTCTCCTTTTGTCAAGAAGTGTTGTCGCGACAATTTTTATTCTTCATCTAAATGAAGAGAAAGAGAGAGAGAGAGAGAAGAGCATTCTCTAAATAAAGAGATAAGTTTGTTCTCTTATAAAATCTCGCGCTATCAAAAAAGAGTCAGTCAGTCTGAAAAGGCTTTACGGGATATATATGTACATTTCGGAATGCGAGTATTTGATAAGGGCGAGGCATCAGTATCGCGAAGGGATACTCCATTTTAAGCTGTAGGATCAGTTGCCCTCTAAGCCATTTCATTGTGAAGAGTATCTCGTAGTGGAGTTTGCAAGGCAAGCGTGCCGGTCTAATTCGAGTGCTCTCGTGAAGAACTTTGGATATATAGGCACGCGCCCCGCAACCGAAATTCACGGAGCAAGATCTGCGCAAGAGAGTTCTCCTTCTCTCTCTCATCCTCCATCTCGCTCTTCTATCACTCCTAATAAACTTCGCGGAAAGCCTTAACGGATTGACCTCAGGATTATTCCGCCGAGAGATGAGATTTACTCTCTAGCCGAATATCCGAGCGGCTCAATCCGCGGCTTTGATAATCGCGTTTCTTCGAATTTGCATTTTAAACAACGCTATTTATATAGCTTTCGTCGCGAGATATTTATCTCCCGCGGGGTCGGATATAGACAAAGAGATATAAAATGAATTACGGGATGACAAACACAAACACTCTCCTCCGGGTCGATTTGATATTCCGAAGAGTTCGCGAACGAACTTGAGCCGCACGTATAAGAAAGAGTCGTGTCTCTGGAAACTGTATGTATCGAGTTTACTCCGAGAAGTAGCTATCTATATGTGTACGATACATATAGCTATCAGACCCGCTGTACCAGTTCTGTGCAGGGTAATTCCGGGATAATAGATAACTATAGTTTCTCTACTATAGATGACCGCGGAAAGAGACTAAAGCACTAAAGTACTCACTCTGTAATAACTTCGATGAATACGGTTACGGAAACAATTTCAATTCATTGCCACGACGTTTTAGTAACTATTCAAGCGTATCGTTAAAACGGCTATTGAAGGAACCGCAAATGTGCTGACTATTTTCCCTGTAAATGGCTGTGTAAAAGACTTCTCTCTTCCCGCGTACATTTTTTTTTTATTCGCGATCAATTTTAGCGGACAATTTGGAGTCAAAGTCTTCCTTTATCAAAATGTTAATAAAAAAGATATAAGATGATGGCATGTTAAAGACAAGTACGATATTATACGTGCTTAACGATTCGTACTTGTCTTTAACATATCATTTTCTTATACCTATTTCTTTTTATTACATTTTTATATGCGTTATATATTTATATAAAAATATATGCATTATAATTTTTATTAACGGAGCCATATATCAAATAATATATATTTATATTATACATGAATACTATTATATATTATATACATATATATATATGGTCGTTTTATAATAAATAATACAATATCTCTCGTATATATTGTATTATTGGATTGCAGAGATATCTATAATAGTTTTGACGTTTATTAAGCTCCGCGTGTTTCAGCCGAAAGTTGATAACGAACTGAATAAACTAACAATACATAAACCGTTTTACGCATTCATGGTGCATACATACATCTCACTCAGCGGTCGGTGACCTCATACGATTCGGTCGTCATAAACAAACAATGTTTATGTTTCTTGAGTCTCCGTTAATAGACATGTGCGCGTTCATGTTTTCATCGCGAGAATAAAACTCACTTTATTCGCATCATTTTTTAATCACAAAAAATGCGCGTGGCTCAGCACTTTGTGTCTTGCGTGAATCGGATTTAAATCTTTCTTTTGTTACCTTACAGAAAGTGTCTCTGACAATGAGATATTATCTTTATATATGACATATTTTTGTATATTTTACATACCACGTAGCACACAAATATCTGTGTCTAATGATTCATTCTATTCTTATTTGGGAGGAAAATTTGGAGCAAGAATCTTGTTTTATCTTTTTGTATCTTCGAAAAACTTTGTTCAATATTAACGAGTGTATACTTATATATACTAAAACATTTAAAAAATATATAAAAATATAAGAAAAATAATCTTTAGAGAGAATAATTTTCGAACACGTTTTATGCGCGATAACATCTGACTTTAATGTGTTCATATTTTTCTTTTTGTGTGACTCACACTTTAATATACCTTGATTTATATACTTTAGATCTTATCCTTCGAGGGTACATTTTAGGACTGACATAAATTTTTGAAGGCTTTCTTCTGTTAATACTGCCACAGCATAAAATTAACGTACGTGACAAGTGCGTGATATTACATACGAGGGGAAAAAATAATCGCGTAACGGTAACGGTTCAAGGATTTCCGTGCCGATTATCTACGAGATGCAATCATCGACGGGAAAAGAGAAAGTGCAGCTGGTACAGGAGACGGCCGGTGCAGCCGCTACGCATCGCGCGTGCGACACGTGCATTATGCGCTTTGGAGTTCGTCGGACACGTGTCACGTGACGCGAACCATTCGCGGCGTGTGTCGTCGTGGAATGTCGAGAGAGACGGGAACGAGAGATAAAAAATTACGTTCGACGAACGGATGCGTTTCTCTCTCTTGCGGCTTGGATCGACCGTAAAACCGAGGGAAATGCGATTACGCGTGTTCGGTAAAAGTTTGCGGCTAAACGAACGGGAAGAGAAAATGATGTCGCGCGATGCCGATCTCGTGGCCAATGCCAGCGATATAACTGTTATTTTGCAGGATATTTTGTGGTTAACTGTAATGATATCATGTAAATTTATAATGTAATGGAATCGTCGTTTAAGTATAGCGTTATGTACGTGCATCGAATAAATGTGTGCGTTATAATTACGATGACCATCTGTCTTATTTCAGAAGACAGTCCTTTTTTCAACTATAGCTGTTCTTTAGATTTATTCATTTTCTCACAATTTCATTTTGTCCTCTATATTCCAATTTTATTCTTTATTTCTTTACTTAGAGTTTGATCACCGTAATTATAATTGAAAATATAGTAATAAATTAATCTTGTATCCGTTTCTCAAATAAATATTGTAATTGCGAATTATTAAAATTATATCCGATTGATTGAGTCTACAGACTTTCTTTAAGACTGCTTCTTTGGAGGGGAAAATAAATAATCGTCTTTGACAGTAGCTGCGATGGGGGCGAGATTCAAAGTGAACGAGCACGTATGGATTTTTGGTTGACAGCCGAAAAAACGTGTTCCTTCCGAAAGCGCGTCCCTTTTCGTCCGAATTGAACGCAATCGTGTATCGACAGCGACAAGCGGACAAGACAATCATACACGACTCGAGACAACTTTAGCAGTCGTGCGGGAGGTGAAAGGACACGACTCGGAGCCTGTCTCGAATTACTATTCCCGCGTGTGTTCACCGACGAGCGGAAACGACTTAACAGGGCAGCTCGGTGAAAACGACGATACATCCTTTCCCCATCTCTCCCTCTTTCTTTCTTTCCATTCCCTCTTGCTCTTGCGAATATTCTGATCGCCAATGTTGCACAGGGTGTCCCAGAAAGCTTCAACATTCACGAATACTCCGCATCAATATTGAAAACTTTTTCTCGAGG